AGTAAGGACACAGAAGCACTGAACAACACACTAGAAAATATGGACCTAACAGACATCTACAGAACTCTACACCCAAAAGCAGCTGCATACACATTCTTCTCAAGTGCACAAGGAACATTTTCCAGAATAGACCACATACTAGGCCACAAAAAGAGCCTCAGTAAATTTAAAAAGATTGAAATTGTACAAACTTCTCAGATCACAAAGGTATAGAACTACAAATAAATTGTACAAAGAAAACAAAAAGGCTCGCAAACACATGGAGGATTAACAATATGCTCCTAAATAATCAATGGATCAATGACCAAATTAAAACAGAGATCAAGCAATATATGGAGACAAACGACAATAACAGCACAAAGCCCCAACCTCTGTGGGACGCAGCAAAGGCAGTTCTAAGGCGAAAGTATATAGCAATCCAGGCCTATTTAAAGAAGGAAGAACAATCTCAAATGAATAGTTTAAAGTCACAATTATTGAAACTGAAAAAAGAACAAATGAGGCCCAAAGTCAGCAGAAGGAGGGACATAATAAAGATCAGAGAAGAAATAAATAAAATTGAGAAGAATAAAACCAAAGAAAACAAGAGCTGGTTCTTTGAGAAAATAAACAAAATAGATAAACCCCTAGCCAGATTTAAGAGAAAAAGAGAATATACACACATAAACAGAATCACAAATGAGAAAGGAAAAATCACTACAGACTCCACAGAAATACAAAGAATTATTAGGGAATATTATGAAAAATCTACATGCTAATGAGCTGTATAACCTAGAAGAAATGGACAACTTCCTAGAAAAATACAACCTTCCAAGACTGACCAAGGAAGAAACAGAAAATCTAAACAGACCAATTATCAGCAATGAAATTGAATCAGTAATCAAAAAACTACCCAAGAACAAAATTCCTGGACCAGATGAATTCGCTGCTAAATTTTATCAGACATATAGAGAAGACACAACCCATTCTCCTTAAAGTTTTCCAAGAAATAGAAGAGGAGGGAATACTTCCAAACTCATTCTATGAATCCAGCATCACTCTAATACCAAAACCAGGCAAAGACAACACAAAAAAAGAAAATAACATACTAATATCCTTGATTAACATAGACACAAAAATACTCAACAAAATATTACAAACAATTCAAAAATACATCAAGAGGATCATACACCATGATCAAGTGGGATTCATCTCAGGAATGCAAGGATGGTACAGTATTAGAAAATCCATCAACATCATCCACCACATCAACAAAAGAAGGATCAAAAGCACATGATCATCTCCATAGATACTGAAAAAGATTTTGACAAAATTCAACATCCATTCATGATAAAAACTCTCAACAAAATGGGTATAGAGGGCAAGTACCTCAACATAATAAAGGCCATATATGACAAACCCACAACCAACATCATACTTAACAGTGAGGGGCTGAAAGCCTTTCCCCTAAGATCAGAACAAGACAGGGATGCCCACTCTCCCCACTTTTATTCAACATAGTACTGGAAATCCTAGCCATGGCAATCAGACAACACAAAGAAATACAAGGCATCCAGATTGGTATAGAAGTAAAACTGTCACTGCTGACAGATGACATGATATATACGTAAAAAACCCTAAAGACTTCACTCCAAAGCTACTAGAACTAATATCTGAATTAAGCAAAGTTGCAGGATACAAAATTAATACACAGAAATCTGTTGCTTTCCTATACACTAACGATGAACAAACAGAGAAATCAGGAAAACAATTCCATTCACAATTGCATCAAAAAGAATAAAATACCTAGGAATAAACCTAATCAAGAAAGTGAAAGACCTATACCCTGAAAACTACAAGATACTCTTAAGAGAAATTAATGAGGACACTAACAAATGGAATCTCATCCCATGCTCTTGGCTAGGAAGGATTAATATTGTCAAAGTGGCCATCCTGCCTACTACAGATTCAATGCAATCCCTATCAAAATACCAACAGCATTCTTCAACGAACTGAAACAAATAGTTCTGAAATTTATACGGAACCACAAAAGACCCCAAATAGCCAAAGCAATCTTGAGAAGGAAGAATAAAGCGGGGGGATCTCGCTTCCCAACTTCAGGCTCTACTACCATAATGAAGACAATTTGGTACTGGCACAAGAACAGAGCCACAGACCAGTGGAACAGGATAGAGAGTCCAGATATTAACCCAAGCGTGTATGGCCAATTAATAAACAATAAAGGAGCCATGGATAGACAATGGAGAAATGACAGCCTCTTTAACAGCTGGTGTTGGCAAAACTGTACAGCTATATGTAAGAGAATGAAAGTGGATCATTGTCTAACCCCATACACAAAAGTAAATTTGAAATGGATCAAAGACCTGAATGTAAGTCATGAAACCATAAAACTCTTAGAAAAATACATAGGCAAAAATCACTTGGACATAAACATGAGCAATTTCTTCATAAATATATCTCCCCAGGCAAGGGAAACAAAAGCAAAAATGAACAAGTGGGACTCTATCAAGCTGAAAAGCTTCTGTACAGCAAAGGACACCACCAACAGAACAAAAACACATCCTACAGTATGGGAGGATATATTCATAAATGACAGATCTGATAAAAGGTTGATATCCAAAATATATAAAGAGCTCATGTACCTCAACAAACAAAAAGCAAAAAATCTAATTAAAAAATGGGCACAGGATTTGAACAGACAGTTCTCCAAAGAAGAAATTCAGATAGCCAACAGGCACATGAAAAGATGCTCCACATCGCTACTCACCAGAGAAATGCAAATTAAAACCACAATGAGATATCACCTAACACCAGTAAGGATGGCCACCATCTAAAAAACAAACAACAACAAATGTTGGCAAGGATTTGGAGAAAGGGGAACCCTCCTACACTGCTGGTGGGAATGTAAATTAGTTCAACCATTGTGGAAAGCAGTATGGAGGTTCCTCTAAAAACTACAAATAGAAATACACAAGAATTCCACTCCTAGGAATTTACCCTAAGAATGCAGCAGCCCTGTTTGAAAAAGATGTATGCACCCCTATGTTTATTGCAGCACTATTTACAATAGCCAAGAACTGGAAGCAACCTAAGTGTCCATCAGTAGATGAATGGATAAAGAAGATGTGGTATATATATATATATATATATATATATATACAATGTAATATTATTCAGCCATAAAAAGAAAACAAATTCTACCATTTGCAACAACATGGATGGAGCTAGAGGGTATTATGCTCAGTGAAATAAGTCAGGCAGAAAAAGACAAGTACCAAGTGATTTTACTCACATGTGGAGTATAAGAACAAAGCAAAAACTGAAGGAACAAAACAGCAGCAGACTCACAGAATCCAAGAATGTACTAACAGTTACCAAAGGGAAAGAGACTGGGGAGGATGGATGGGAAGGAAGGGATAAGGGGTAAAAACGGCATTACGATTAGCAGACATAATGTGGGGGTGGGTGTATGGGGAGGGCTGTACTACACAGAGAAGACAAATAGTGATTTTGTAGCATCTTACTACACTGATGGACAGTGACTGTTATGGGGTATGTGGTGGGGACTTGATGAGGGGGAGTCTCGTAACCATAATGTTGCTCATGTAATTGTTGATTAATGATACCAAAAAAAAATTTGAGCAGCTCACACAAAAAAACCTATTAACCATAAAGGAAAAAATAATTCTGATCACATTAAAATTAAGAACTCTGCATTAAAAAACACCATTTTGGAGAATGAAAAGGCAAGCCACAACGGCGCTGATAACAAGAATATAAAAAGGCTTCTTACAAATCAATGAGGGTAAATAATCCAGGAAGATAGATAATGAATTTTATAAAAGATGTTATTCAATTACCAATAAATATGTAGAGAGATGCTTACCCCCAATAGTAATCAAGGAATGCAGATTAAACCACACAAGAATACCACTACACACCACCAGATAGGCTAAATTACACAAACTGATGATAACAAGTGTTGACACGTCACAACTGCTTTGGAAAACAGTTTGAATTTATTACTAAAGTTGAAGATATGCCTCCTATGACTCAGCATTTTCATTTCCAAGTATATAACCACAGAACTGCATGCATATATGTACCAAGTGTCATGTACAATAAATTTATAGCAGCGTTACTCATAATAACCCCAAACTGGAAACAACTCAAATGTCCATAAACTATAGAATGGATAATGGATTTGTGATATGGTCACACAAAGGAATACTATACCAATTAGAATGATAGACTACTGTTAAACTCATCAATGTGGATGAATTTTACAGATAAAATGTTGATCAAGAGGCCAGATTAAAAATACATATACACTGTTTGAATCCATTTATAACAAGCTTAAAAAGCAGGCAAAGCTGAACTATATTGTTTACAGATACATGCCTAATGTGTAAAACTACAAAGAAAAACAAATAAATGAACACCATAAAAGTTAAGAGAGTAGTTACTTTTGAAGGGGGCAGGGAAGGGAACAGTGATTAGGAGATGTGATAGGGACTTAGGTGCCAGACACTGTTTCCATTGCTATAATGTTTCCATTCTATTCGAGTGTTGGTTATATAAGCATTTACTTTGTGATAAGTCACTGAGCTATACATTTTGCTTTGGGTACTTGTCTATACGTGTACTGTATTTGAAACAATTTTTTTCTTGAAATATAGTTGATGTACAATCTTACATTGGTTTCAAGTATATGAAATGATTTTTTAAGTTAACCCAAGTAATTTTTGTTTGATTAAAAACAATAAGACCTTCCTTTCAGAATAACACAAGAATGAGCCCATGGTTCACTATTATAAATAAGATACAACTTTGGATTCATGTATACTACAGAATTTTTCTCACTTTAATAAAAAGATACAAAAAATGATAACATATTAATAATAATATGTTAATATTAACTAATGACAGCTCCATCACTCTTAAAGATCACTTATTTTCATTTGACAGTGCTCCAATAGGTACTATTTCTTCCACCTTACCTCTTCAATGGGTAGGTCCTGGAGCTGTGGTAAAGAGCAAGATAGGATTCCAATAAGGAATGGAGTAGGTGAGCACACAATGTCGATCATAGATGCTGGCAGGACTGGGATATAGGTATGCTGCCAGGTGAATGGATACAGGGTGGCAACCACAGCATGGCCACATTTTGACAGGGTGCTAGCCAAAGAAAGCAAATGGTGTCACGTACAGAGCAACATATGGAAGTGTTTCAGATATTATGTTACAGAATTACAAACTGGTGCTGGTTAGTGATCACAGATGAACAATTCTGTGATTAATCATTAATTTTTAACATTTTACTTGAAATTTTAACAACACTGAAAATCTTTGATCTCAATCCAGTTCTTTTCTACAATTTATATTGCTAAAAATTGGTGTATAGTTAGAAAAGCAATACCAACCTTTAATAAGTTTATGTAAAACACATTTAGTAAGGTAAATTAATAAAAACCCCAGAAAGTCACTGCTATAGCCTAATACAAATAGTTTTTGGATTATTTACCAGTTGGTATCCATGTCACTATAGCATTAGGTATTTGAGATCCTACAGTTTTTTAATGTGTCCCAATTTAAAAACAGTAAGAATAAGTAAAAAGCTAGTAGGAAGTGACAGACGATATTTATCTCTCACCTGAGGCTGTTGGCAACAAATATTACCCTCCGCTCCAAAAGGAGAGAGGCACAGACCTGGATGAGATGAGACACACTCAGGCACTTAAAGAGACATTCAAAGTCAACATGTTCCAGTCGGGAATCCAATGGTCGGCAGAGTTCAATTGACTGAAATACAGAGATTTAAATCAGGGGACTTGGGGTTGGAAAACAATCCCTAATGACACCACCAATGGATCCTGTCATTCTTTTACAAGTAAAATTCAAGAAAAAGGGTCTGCTGAGAACAGTTTGTGAAGCTGCCTGCACTAATCTCAAAACCTAACACCTTATTTTTGTGTCATAAATTTCTGGTACAATCCGTTATGCAACCTGACAATAGTAGGTATCTTCTTCATTTATCATACTGAAATTGTCATTAAGAAGAGGCTCAATCTAGGAATGGCAGAAAACCTCTGCTTCAACCATCTCACAGATTAACTGGCTATTTCTCCAGTGCCTTTTGGAACTAAACCATATTCTGCACAGTTTATGGAAAAGGGAAAACTATGCCTTGAGGCTTCTGGAAGTTCTATTAGTATAAAGCCTGCTTTTTGGCAACTATCAAACCTTTTCATAATGAGCAACTTACCCCATCTCCAGCCCCAGGGAGATAGCTCTTAACTGTGATTGTGCGTCCAGGAGCTGGGAAAGGAGCTTCCATGACACTTCGCATGAAAGGGTAAACGAGGGCTGGAGACATTTCTCTTCTCTTCTCCACTTCATCCAGAATCTATACGCGTAAAATATGTTATTAGGGATTCAGTTGAAAAACAAAAGAATCCTATTAAAGAACTGCCAAACTTGGTGCACAAACTTGAAAATAACACCAACAGATTTTAAGAGAAAGAAGCTTTTGCCAATGAATAAAATTCATTAAAGGTATTGTATCTCTTGGGGATATCTTTTCATCCCTAAGAAAAGTTACTAAAATAAATCTATTTTTAGAAGAGGAGACCCTTTTTTTTCACTAAGGTAGAGGCAAAGAAGATGACACGGACAATGACATCCTGCAGTCTGGTGTCCAGGAAAGACATGAAACACGATCAGCTTCAGACAATGTTCTCCTTTGAGTTGGGAGGTTTAGAAAATGAAAATGAGGATGACATGGCAACTGCACCTGGATTAGAGATCTAAGTTTAAGCCTTCAAACCTGTGGTTCTAATCGGGGAACCCTTTCTAAAGAAGTATGTTAAAGCCTATGCCACTTAATATTGTCCAGTGAAGTCATCAGAAACACACACTCAGAGCCTGGAAAGAACACTACTTTTCAAAGGGCCCATTCTCTACTCACCTTTGAAAAAAGGTTGAAGCAGCCTAGGCGACTGACCATGCAGTATACCTCAGGGAGTCTCTTTCCTTTGCCTTCTGGCTGAAAGAAGAAAACAACAGGCAAAAATTAATCATCACAAGGCTTTACTAATTTGGACTATTAAAACTCTTTTAATACTCTTTAGTACAGAGTAGAAACCAAGGCTCTTATCCCAATGGACACAGAAAGATGGGAAAATGCTGAAAAGTGATAGCATGATTTATTCCAGGTTTAGCAGAATAAATCCACTAAGAAGAAAGTAATTCTGAGCTTCCTTGATTGGCTCACTGTACTCCATTCCTTGATATACCCAGACTGATATTTAGCCACTACGTCAGTGGTTCCTTCATCTATTATAAAGAAACAAATAAAATAAATCCATGCCTTTTTATTCTGGAACACTCTGAGGAACCCCACCCAGCTTTGCTCTTACTGTTTAAAGCTAACACAGCTTCTTCAGTAAATACACAAATCATCAGGTGGCCCTCAAACTCATTCAGAGACAGTGTTTCTCAAGTTCCTAGTTTGACTCTACTACTCCTGACCAACCCTGCCTGTAGCGCAAGTCTGGTACTTACCAAGAGCTTCTTACAGTAACCAAACCACCGGCTCCCATCTTCACCAGTTAAGACAAAGGAGAACGTCTCACTGAAAAAACAGTCAACAGTTTGAGATCCAAACAACTGCTATGATATTCCTCATTGAACAAACAACTGAAAACTAGAGTCCAACAGCAGTCATTCAGTGATGTAAGAGGATGCATTAGTACTACATGTACTATAAGTCACAGTCCTCCTGAGAGAATGTCCAGGCCTTGAGAATACCTTGCCTTATACTAGAGTGATAGAATAGATACAGGATGAGCTGTTAATATCATGGCCTCCTTTTACTTTTTTGTTTATCCAGGCTAGCTGTTAAGTCTATTTTCCTTCTGTTGAATGCCCAACTTAGTCAAACATACAGGTGAACTATAAGGGATTTTGATAAGCTGTTTTTCCCTTCTGAATTCTTCTATTTAGTTCTGAGAGGTCACATGGAATAGGGATAGGCAAAGGGTTATATTCTTAATTATAAAAATTAATAGGAAAGTTCTCTACTCGTTAGAAAGACAGGCTAAAGACATGCTTATATTATTTACAAAAAGAAGACCTGAAGATGACTAATAAAGAAATTATTAACAATCAAAGAAATCCAAATTTGAACAATGAATACATATGTCTGTATATGGCCAGAAATAAAGACTGGAAGGGAATATGCCAAAATATTTACAGTGATTATCTCTGAGTAACCAGCATACCAATAATTTCTAGTTTCTGCTTTCTATTTACTACTCTGTGTTTTCCATATATTCTATAAAAAGCACACAGAACTTGTTGGGGGGAAAGCCAACCATGGAGCAGCCAAGCCAGTATGGAAGAAGCTGCCTATGTGGTTAGGACTGACAGCTCAGAGATGAGAGTGGCGATCAGGCTAACTAAGCTGGTCATGAGAGACGGCAGCTTAGTCTGGTGGCAACATGAGCTGGAATGGCAGAGCAGCTACTTAGATAACACCTGCAGCTGCCTTCCAACAGGTCACTGGCATGTGACATAATGTACATAATCATGTTTTTCGGCCTACATAGCATGATCAATGCTTACAGCTTGGAACAAAGCAGTTATATATATAAAGTAGGATTCACAGATGCTGATGCTTTATGAACTGAGCATGGTTAATTTCCTCTAGATACCAGGAAGCAATTCTTTGTACTTCCCTTCTCAGTACACTCACACCTGCCAAATGGAACCTCCCTTTGTACAAAACCTCCCCTTTATCCACAGGGGAACATATAATCTGGGCTGGACCTCTTCTATCAACTTGAAGGAGAAAAAAGATGCAGACATTTCTCTGTTTTATCTCTGTTTCTAAGTAGTTCCTAAGGCCTTTCTCCTCTTCTGTCCACTTGGTGGCATTCCTGATTGTATGTAAAGTGGAACCTTTTTTTTTCTGCAGAATTGGCAAACTTGTTTTCCCTTTGATGCTGAAATTATTCAGTGCTTTTCTTTTTTGAGTCCATGTAGGAAATGTTGTAATTCTGTTTCTTCCTTTCCTCCCACAGCATCCCTGACCTGCCACAGTGTCCACACGGCTTCACTGCTGGCCATACCCCTTTCTGAAATATTCTAATTCACTTTTGCAGTTTCAACAAATAGAAAACAGATAAAGTAGCCCATTTACCTCTTGAGGTCTGAGGTTGGCACCCAGTCCTTTGAATCAGGAAAACAAAATTTGGGGATAACTTTGAGCCTCTCCTCAGTGTCTCTGGATTGCTTAAAGCCATGGTCACCCTGAAAAAGACAGCACTGTAGTTGATTAATATTCTCTGTAAATGGAGAACAGATATTTAAAAACTCTGCCTGGTCTTGGGAAAAGAGGTCTCTGATAAGCCTGAGTAGTCATCTCAGCATGGTTTTGTGCTGTTTAACAAAACAGGGAGGCTAAGACTGGTCACCACTGATGATACACCTAGAACAGAGTTACTAAGAATAAAGAATTCTATTTTTACATAGAAATGGCACTCCTATAATCTGATATAAGAGATACGACTGAAAATAATTTCTTATCTAGAGGTAAAATCTTAATTCAGGATTCACATCCTAGTGGGAACTCAGTATTTTTATGAATCAAGGGGCATAAAATAAAAATCTATTCTGCAATATACTGGTAACAAAAACCTAGTGAGGCCGAAATACTCTCTAATCAATAATCAAAGATGTTTTGAAAAGACAAATGAATGTTATTTAGAAAAGATACTGTTTTTAAAATACACCCCCTGTGTAATCATTTCCCTTAACATATAATCTCTGCTACCTAACTACTGGTTTGCAACTTCCTGTAAAATTTTAGCATGGAAGATTTTTGTACAAACCTGGTACTGTACTTTAAACAATAGTCTAAATTTAGTTAAAGCAAAAGTTTAAGTCAGTTTATACTAATTTAAAAATTAGTATAAAAACAAGCAGATAATAAATGTAGTGATTGTTTTCATGTAACTAATTTGAATGGATCTATCCTTTAACTTCTAAAACAAAAATGTAGTCATTCTGGGTCACTTGAGTATTAAGCTCTTTTTAATTGAAGTATCACTGATACACAATCTTACATTTGTTTCAAATATAAAACACAGTGGTTTACCCATATTATTAACTCTATATCTCCACTAGTGCAGTTACTATCTGTCAACATAAGAAGTTGTTACAAAAGCATTGGTTATATTCTCCACACTGTACTACCATCCCCATGAACAACTAACATTGTGTGATTCCTAATTATTGTGCCCCTTTATCCCCCGCCCCCTTGGTAACCACTAGTCACTTCTCAATGTCTATGTGTCTACTGTTTTGCTCATTCTGTTTTGCTTTGTTTTTATATTTTACAAATAAGTGAAATCATATGGTATTTGTCTTTGTCTGCCTGACTTATTTCACATGAGCATAGGGTATTAAGCTCTTAAGAAATGAAAAGGCATTCTAGTGAAATTTAGGTGTATCAATAACCTATTATTTTTATGTTGTTAGACAATTCACATCTTCATTTAGGGTTTTCCACAACAGAAAAGAGGGCCTTGGTCAGCTCTTCCTCTCCCTAATATCTGGGTGCCTAACATAACAAAGATGCTAAGTCGCTTCCTTAGGGACACTCCTTCATCACTGCCAGAGCCAAATGGCTCCTTAATCTGGTTCTGAACCCATTAATTCTGGCTGTCTTGAAAACAGGTTCAACCTTGAGATTTCTCTCTTCAAATGTTAAGACTGATCAAATGTAGGACAAGTGCAGACCCTCACCCTCACAGATGCCCAGGGACCCTGGCCCCAAATCTGGTGCATAAGCAGCCCACCAGCTGTGGGGTTTTCCCTCTGGGCAGTCACAGGACTAAAAGTATCTGTGTGTCATGATCGGGGGTGGGGAAGCTGAGCCTGGCATCTCCCCTTCCCATGGGCCCACTGCTATAACCCACAGAAGCTGGGCAACCATCAAGGGGCTGTAGCTTCCATGCAGGGATGTGCTTGGTACTTGGATTGGGGATGGTGGACAGGCTTAACCTTAACCCAAGCCACCCACTTAACACAAGCAGCACTGGCAGACCAGGGCAGGGAGGGCCTCCCTATACGCTACCTGGAGACCCTGCAGGGTAGTGCTTGCCAGATCCTGACCTTCTTCATACCCCAACTCCTGCCAGGAACAGAGGACAACTAGAGAATCCATCTTGGAGAGGCGGCTGGAAGTGAATCATGCATGAACCAAGGCGTTAAGACCTTGGCACATGCCCCAGTACCCCATCAGACCTCACTTACAAAACACAAGCTCAAAGACAAAATTACTAAGAACTGTAATGTTCACTACAGAGCACTAAACCCTTGTATGACTATATTGGTCACATGCCCATGAAGTCAGTCCTGCTCCTTGCTCAGCTTCAGCCAATTCCTGCCACTTATGAATGTGGGCTGAGTGTTAGCCCTCTTTCCATTGTCTCAGGAAAAAGCAGAAATACAGATTTTTATGTGAAATTTGATTTTTAAACAATGGCAACAAAAATTTATTTTTATTATTTTTACAAAAACACTATGCAAACCAAAAAAAAAAGTCTTTGGGCTCAATTTGCTGGGAGGCCACCAGTCTGCGAGCCCTGATGTAATGATCAGTTTTTCTATTTGCATTTGCCACTCTAAAGGGTAGATAGAGCTGCATCTGAAGTCTATGTTGTAAACCCTGTGAGGGCATGGACCAAGAAAATCTATTTTAGTTGTATTCTCAGGACCTAATCTCAGCAAATTTAAGTAGGTATTTAAGAAATATTTGATTAAATGAATAAATTAATCATTTTTTTGAAAAGGTAGAGCAAATCAAATAACATTGTTAATGATAGCTACCATTTATCAAGTGCTTACCATGTGACAGGTAATAAATAATAAACATTTATTTTTCTGCCTGTTCTGCCACATTTATTACTGCCCTCATTAAGGATGACAAAATTGAGGCTTTGTAACTTGCTAAAGGGCACTTAATAAACAGCAAAGCAAACAACAAAAAGCCAACTCAGATAATGGATTTTGTTTATGCCCTTGGCTGCAGCTCATGCCTGACATAAGTTGTCATCAGAGTCACTCACGAGATCCTACAAGAAGTGCATTAGTAAAAGCTGACTGAGATAACAATAAAGAAGAAGAAAGGAAATAAAACACACAGAGACACAGACAGGACCATTCCTGAATGCCTCTTGGCCCCCCTGCACCTACCTTGCTAGGGAACTGTTGTATGATCTGGGGAATGTAGCTTATTTCTAATGGCTTCTTTTGTAGAGACACCACCACGAAGAGTTCAAAGAGCTGCTGCTCCTGTAATTCTATAAGATCTCGCTCTAGGGTCTGGTAGTGTGGATTCCTCTTGGAAGACTGCTGCAGCTGTGCTAAGCGCTTGTGGCGATCTGCAATGAGATCAAGGAGCACTGTTTGTCCTTTGTGGCCCTGTCTTCTCTCTGACACTCCGAGGTCATGAGCCATGTGGGACTACTCTTCACTCAGTCACTGCTGAAAGAATGTTGACTAACCAATGTCTGCCACACACACACACACACACACACACACACACACACACACACACACACACACACACCTGTTAGGGCTATGACACACTCGGGGGACAAGTGCAGACTCCCACAAGTGACCTGGGGCCCTGTGGTGGGACCGATGTTCAGTGCCCCAACTGATACTCTATGTATGTCCTCATACATACCCTATGGTATCCTGTCTTTTATGGCATAACACCAGCACACATGGAAAATGTCAAGTAAAAGTACTCGCCTGACAGCAGATGTTGGAATCAGAGGTGGGGATGGAAGATCTGATGAAAGAACCGAGTCCAACAGGGGGTAAGTACATAAAGGGACAAATCTGATAAATCTAAAACAAAAACTATCCTTACATTAAAGAAACGTCTTTTGCCTTTCTGCCATGGACTGAATAATGGACATAAGCTTTTATCAACAAATGGTGCTAAATGCAAGGTGATATAAAATGAAGTAGTAGAAGACATCTATTAACAGACTATTTCTCAAAAGAATGAAATTAAGGAAGCATACTATTTGAACAGTATGAACAACACCATTCAAAACTGGATAGCATTTATCCTTTATTCTCATTTATCTCCAAATTCTGAACCATTAAGGGGAAGTACAGTACTTTGCAAAAGAAAGTCTAAGTGTCCCAGGGATTTTCTGTGTCATTCTGAGCCAACGACTGAAAGACTCATCCTCTAACTGCTTGCTTTTCTTTTGAGATATGATTCATTCTGCTCCTAAAGAAATAATACTACAGATCAAAATATTAAGAACACTTAAAAAATTCATCTTGGAGTGGCTCCCCAGAATTATCCAGTACATTCAGTGCTCTAAGCAAAGCTTTCCTTACCCTGAATGGCTCAGTTCAAGTCAAGAAAATTTTAAGTCCTGTTTCTCAGTAGCAGCAGAACTAATTAGTCATCTTTACACATCTGGGCTGAACCTGGTAATGACTTAGGTTTCACCTTCAGTCAGGCTATAGAATCAAACATCCAAAGCAATTCAGGCCAGTGGAGCACATGACCATTAATCATAAGTTCAGAGGATCAGACTTAGAATTGCCCTGTCCTCAGCTTTGATAATTCATTTCTCCAACTTTTCCCATGCCTCAGTATGTCAGTCAATTAAACAGGAACCAAACAACTTGCTGTGAAAATCCATTAGATGAAGGAAATGGAGCACCATGAAGTGTTCAAACAAACACAGCCAAAAATTCAGGGCATATTCTATATCCTAACAGAAAATAAATTACTCATTAATTTGGAATATAAATAAATGCCTATGAATTAGGAACAGATCAATGTTTCCTGTCTCAATGACAGATATATCAAAGTTACTTAAATACTTACACTTGAGTGACTATGAAAGATCAGATATTTAATGCTAAGTATTTGTGTCAGAGGATGAGAGGAGGATGTGTCACACACTGTTCTGGCTGCTGGGAAACTGCTGCACATATGTCTGAACATGCAGCTCTGCCGCTCCCCTAAGAACATTCCATCTTAGGAGCACACTGGTTTGCCTCACTCCACCATGGGAGATTTTTAAAGCTGTCAAACATCTGACAGTGTACTGATTAGTGCCCCAAATCTCAACAGGTTCTTGTAGTGAAGAAATCACCTACAAAATGAAACCTCATGTGGGAAAAACATGTTTAATCACAAAGGCAGGTGTCACTCCACCTATTACCATGATCACCAGGAGAAAGGGAGCAGCCCATTGACTCACTCACTCTTTGGCAGATACTCAGCATCACTTTCGTTCCCACTGGTTTCGCCTGAAAAGAAAGAGTTTCCATTTGTAATGTCCAACAGTTAAGAAGTACATGAGGATAAGAACAATGTTAAACTTCCATGGACCTGGGGACTTGGAGGAAGAAATAATACAGATGCTAAGTCTTAGTTGTACCTCCAAACCACTTAGTTATATCAGGAGGGAAACTACTCTATTCCATCTTCTTCCCACACCCTGCGCCCCTCCCTCAGCTCCCCTCACAGTCCTGAATTCTGGAAATTAACAGCATTTCAGACTAGTTTTAATACATCTACTTCAGAGTAGATTCCACCTCTACATTCATATCCTTGCCTTTCTATTCCAGAACACCAACCTGGCTACACAAAAATCTCAACATGGAATAAACTATTAATTTAGAAAAATATAGGGCTGAGAGAGGTTGACAAGTAAGTTTATGAAGTAACATTTGACCTCTTTTATGATGCTTCTAAGCTAACTCTAGGCCACACTGAACTTTCCTGTATTCTGAATTCTTACAGTACTCAGACTGCTTTGAACTGCTCTTATTTTCTCCAATCAGATTTAAGTATCTTGAGGATAAAGGCTATGCTTTTACAGGAGTGTTTTATACCACAATGCTAGGCACACAGGCAATTTGCCAAAAAAAAATAAAAAAAAAAAAAAGGCTTTATGAACAAGGGAACAAAAAATTTCTAGATTAAGTCTGAAAAGTTAAAGCAAAGTTTAAAAAAATGTAAAGGAAGGAAAATCTTTGTATGTACCAGGAAAAACAAGGCCTAGGAGTCATAAATGAAAAATGTATGTAAGCTTGATTATATAAAAATGTAAAAATTTTTATCTAACCAAAAAATCATTAGTAAATTAAAAAGGTGAACAATAAACCGGAAAAATATTTGTGATACACGTTATAGACACAGGTTAAATTTCTTAATACTCAAATAGCTGTTACAAATGAGTAGGAAAAAATTAGGCACAACAGAAAAACAAATAAAGGGTAGGAAAAGGCAATCCATAGAGATTTATAACTGTTCATAATCATGGTAACTGTCCAAATTCATAATTGAAGAAATGTAAGTCAAAACAATAAATAAGATACAATTTTGAACATGACATTGGCAAAAAGAATAAAAACAGTGTTAGTGAAAATTATGAGAAAAAGTCACTTTCAAATGCTGTTCATAGAAACATAAGCTGTGGGCAATTTGGCAGCAGCAATAAAAATTTTAAATGTATATGTTCTTTGATTAAGTCTGCTGCTAGGAACTTATTCTACATCAATATACAAAATGTATTCTTACCAATATACAAAAATATAAACAAAAAGAAGTATATTGCAGCATTGTTTGAAGAGCAAAATTATACACACACACACACACAGAATTAAAATATTCACAGGTTAAATGTTAGAAACAACCAAAATGTCTACCATCTAAATAAAATCCTTTTACATTTAAACAATGAAACAGTACAGCTATGTGGATCTGTGTGCTGATAGTGAAAAAGTTCTGAAATATATTAATTACATTTACTTGAAAAAAGCAAGACATACGAAGTCTGGTATAAAACTATTTGGATAGAAAAAATATTTGCATGTGCAATTGTCTGGGATTGGTGGGAGGATGTTTGGGAAACTGACTTTTCATTTAATATTATTCCTTATAATTATAATTTTTTGCTTTGCTCATTTAAATTTTATAAGGGCTAATAGAACATTAAGAGAATACTGCCTTTTCATAAGATAAGTGGGAAAGGTACATAAGAGAAATTACAGAAGTAGCTATTTTAATATTGTGTACAATATAGGTTTTAAAACTTCAAATTAATTACCCTGACAAAAAGTATACTGGGGCTACAAATACTGTTGTATGAAGGAATAAACATTTTGAGCTCCTGAGTACTATTTGTATATCCTTAGCACCAGGCACCTCTTAGGAACCTCTGAGGTGTCTGGAAAGAAAGAAAAAGAAAGGGAAAAAGGAGGGAAAGTAATACAACTGGAAAAGACCTTGTAAAAGATCATTTAAGTGGCTTTAATATATTCATATCTGTGGGTTTTGATGATCTGCATTCCAAGATACTGAATGAAGGTTAAGGGGTTTATAAGCAATTAGGGAGATCTACTGAGAATCTGTAAGGATCAAAAAAGTACTAGGTTGTTTCTTTTTTATGTGACTTCAACACAAAATTATGATAGAATTGAGGAAAGGCAGTAAATCATTTTGTAACACCTGATAACTGAAAGTTAAGAAATGTTTAGGTTGGAATAGATTCAGTAAAACCTAGCATGTACTGACAGAGTAGATAAATGTAATTATTTGGCTCTACTAGTTATTGTTGATACACAGACAAAAGCTTAATAAGGAAAACAAAAATCTGAGAAGTGTGACTATGGAGCCAGGAGATCCTCAAGCATGAGAGAAACTGTTCTGGTCCACTGGAGAAGTTGATGACAGCGACTGGGTAAATGCATATTTTCTTTGAGCCATGCAGAAGAAAAACTAACTTGTAGGAATGGGTTACAATTTAGGGACTGCTCCTCTTATTTTTTTTCCTTTGGTTGGCAATTCATCCTGTTGAATTTTTTTTTTTTTTTTTTTTTTTTTTTTTACTAATGATACAGTGAAAAAAGGATTTGGCTCTTCAAAGACTTGTCTTACAGCCAAATTTACTTAAATGTTCCTAATCACAAAGCATAAGGCATACAAATAAAATAAGAGATCAGTAATAACCTACTGAGAGTGGCATGTCTGGAGAACAGTTATCAATAGCCTGCTGTTATTATGAGAAAATGATAATGCTTTCTAAGAATTTGTCTTGACTCCAGGGTCTTGATATTTTACATAATTTGCAATTTATAATTTACTGCCTTACTATAAAATAGTGGCAATAATATCTGCCATATAAGGTTGTTAACAAATTAATGAAAATGCATCTGAAAGGACACAGCATACTTATTTAGTATCAGTTTTCATCTTCTGTAACTACTTATGATTTATACCAAAAAAAAGCCTTTGACAGTATCCTTTTTGAAGATAAGGAAACACATGGAGAGGAGATTAAAATGCTAAAAATCAAGCTTTATGAGAAAAATTGAGAGGAACTGTTGGTGATAAAAAGGGGAAGACTGTGGTGCCATGCTCACTGATTCAAATCCATGCTTCTGCCTCTGATTCAGCTTTTCCTCTGTAAAATTAGGGTAGTCCTTACCTCCTAGTGTCATATGTCATACATGAGAAAAAGATGTAAAGAAACTATTACTTCATTCAATAAATTGTTGTTATTAGTAACAATAACCAAACATATTTCTTCTGCAGAAGACTGAAACATGTTTTAAAACTTTTGAAAATATGAAAATTTACATGTAAAATGGTGACAGGTTGATTTTAAACATCACAGAAGAAAGAGACTTAAATTGTAACGGGGAGGATTTTATTTTCAGAAAGTAATTGTAAGAGTGTAGAATAGATTTTCAAGAGAAATTACGACATTTCTATCTTTGGAAATCTGCAAAAATACAAAGCATTCTTCTCTTATATGACTTGGCTGTTGTTTCTCATTTCTGAATCTGATAGACAAAAACTACTAAATTCTGCATATTCTTTGCCAGACAACTAAGTTAAGAATCTTGCATAAGTTTCAAAGAAAATACTAATAATTCACTATGGATGTGGAAGGTTTAATTGATACACTGTAAGTTGTCTCTAAGTATCTGAATGATAAAACTACCAAACTTGTTAGATGACTACATGGTGAGTACCACATACCTTCAGTTTTCATTTTTCCATTGGAAGTGTCCATCGTGATAAATGACTATATGTCAAAGTAGGACTACAAAATAATAATGCAATCTGCCTATGACAATTAGTCTCATTGGTTTAAAATTATATTTTAATTTATTTACATATACATCTAATAGTTATTACTTGGAACAGAACTAAATAAAAGGGATTTGAAGAAGAATAAAAAATAGCCCCTTATGCTAAAGAAGTCTATATTTAAATGGGATAGAAAAGTAATCTAAAAATTATAATTTATGTCAAATATTAAGTTATATAATGATTCTTTCCTCTTATGGTGATAGCCATGGACAGCTGGAACAATTCTTACCTTTTGAGGGAGGCACATCTTTTCCAGCATAAGGGTGTAACTTTACCCTCTTTTTCCCTCTCTTAGATTCAAATATGTCATCTATTTTCAATACAAGCTGAAAAAAGACCAGACAAGTACAAGCTGAAACCAACACCAACAAGCTTTGCAGCTTCATGATATTAATTAGTGAGTCTTATAAAGATCCATTTTATAAATAAAAATCTTCATTTCTCAATCTTGAATATAAAATGATCTTTAGTTAGATGATATGTTGTCTTAATACAAAGTCCATGTAACAGTGGGTAAGAGAAATGGGAAAGGTACTCTTTTCCCAAAGAACCCAGCACAGGCTCCTTGAGAGATTCCTAGTCACGCCACATCCCAACATACAGGAGACGTGGCTATTAGCTGCATTCCTTATAGTGACCAAGCCTTTACTACTGGACTCAAGTTTTCACTTGCCCAGAGTAGGAAGTGGAATACTTACTCACTTGGAGGACAGGGTGAAGCTCAGTTATTTTTGTTCCCAGGAATTCTTTGCAAAGAATCATGCTTAGAAAGTTTTTGTCAAAGGGAGTACTCTGCTACTGGGAGCACTGATGTTATAATTTATTAGATAAATAAAAATAGGAGACTCTCAAATATGCTCAAACACAAAAACTGTGCACCATTTAATAAGCATTACTCATTAGAATTATTTCTTTGCTGCTGGAAGGTGTGTGTGAAAGATACACACACACACACACACAGGTTAAAAAACGGGAAAGAACCAAAGCTGATCAATAGCCACATTTAAAAGGAGTACTTCATTAGTTTTCCATATATATTTTTCTTTTTTCTTAAGATTCCAAGATGTTTCTTAATTATTAATCCTTATTTAACATATCTAATGCCCAGAATTGCAATTGTTAGGAACATCATATAAGAGGATAACCAACAAAGTTGCTTGAGAAAAATGTTTTTTGTTTTTTTCTTGTTTCTCTAGCAATCCTGGCAATCCATAGGTAGTGAATCAGTCCAGTGCAAGAAAAATAACATGTGAGAAACATGTGCTTCCAATATGCAGATTATTCCCACATTTTTGGATGACTCTGTTCTTTTCAAGTGAAAAATTACCAATGTTCTTAAATATCACCACTATAAAAAAACAAATAATAGAATCCAACATAAAAGGGCATTGTTAGGGGCTACAGGAAAGATGTATGAGTAAACATGTATTTTGGGGACATAATGGTTAAAGTAGTGCATTTATTAATGTGCATTTGAAAAGTATACTCAAAGTATACTCAAATATTTTAAGGAAAGGCAACTATCTGTTCTAGACATATGAGATAAAGTAATAAAATTTAAATTTTATTTATGAGCTAAGGAGAGGAGCCTACATCATTTACTTTCTAGTTGCAGGAAATACTGTAGAATATACTTCCTAAGAAATGATAGAAACCATACTGCTTGTACACACTTGACATGAACAATATAAAACACCAGGAAATCTACTGTAGCAAACAATCCCACACAGGCTTCCACAGCAGGAAAAGAAAGCAAGGGTGGGGATGAGGCATATGGACTCAGTCAGTGATTTTCAAACTATGAAACCAGTTTTCCTTCCAAGGATAGCTCTAATCATCAAAGGGGAAATAAATGAAAACTGCTTTCCTCATGGAATGTTGTTCCTGAAGGAATTCCAAAGCCAAACTTAGCAAATGGGGCATCCTAAAAGGATTTAATCCAAGGATGATCACAAGTAGAAAAGCTAACAGTTTGTTCCTGCCTGACAATCAAGAGTTTCACCATTCTTCACCTCACAGCACCTCAAAAAAACCTTTGGGAAAACATTAGAAAAGGAAAGGTTGGATCGTGTCACCCACAGTCAGAAAGGGTGTTCCTTTGAGTACTCGGGATTTTTGGTACATAAAATACTGAGGCATGAAATGAAAGCACTGCACACCTCCTCAGGTCTCAAACTCTACCATCCTTAATTCCTAAATATGTGTTAATGCCATGGAAGAGCCACACCTTAAATGTAATCCCTTATGTGTTTGTGTTCTTGCCCTTGCAAACACATGATTTCTTGTTTCTGGGCCTTATGGGAGGCTAATTTGTTGTGCTAGCAAAGATCTATCAAAGGAGAGAACTACTGTAGAATACCTAGCAAATCTTTAAATCTCTGATTTTCAAATATTCCTCACCATACACAAGAGAATAAATAGCTAAAGATTTTTTTTTCCACTGAAAGAGATCAGTATAGTGCTTTTTAAAAACTGTGTGTCTTTACTCTTCACATATTAAAGAGGGAGGGGCAGGAAATAGATCAGAATTAGAGTGATTGTGGAAGAGAATATTTCCCAAGGAACCAATCAGCAGTTAATAAACCAAGAAACAGCTGTGATTTTTGTTTAATGTTAAACTCAGGTACAAAAGTTGTGTGCTCAGTGAATACATACAGCTAATTCAGATGGGATTAAGGCAAGCAATTCTAAATGATCTGACTTCTTCATTCTTTATAGTAATCCTGAAAATATTCTGAATTACGAAGAACAAAGTAACATAAAGAGTTTTAAAATATTTTATATAATTTCTCAAGTGCTTCTCTTTAAAAAAAAAAAATCCGTCTACAAATAGTCCCAGTTTCTCATTTTGGTTTCAATGGCTTTAGTTGAGAGAGTTAACAGACTTATGGCTTTTTCCCCCTTGAGAAAGAAGTCAGTTATTTAGTATAATTGCTGATAATTTCAATTCCTAAGTAATAGTCAATATTTTTTTCCTTCCTTTAAATGGGAAATTTTGTCCCAAAGTAATGGCATATACTGTGTCATTACTGAAAATATGTAAACTCAGGAACAAAATTGAATTCACTCTGGCAATTATATAAATGAGTGAGAATAACAACACTGAATGAAGCCAGTTACTAGAATGGACTTTGATATGAGATTCTAGTTTGAAACAGGCAGCTGATTCTAATGGGAACTAAGGTAACTGAAGTGAAGCTCTCCATCTAAAATCAATTTTCCAAGTCCATAAAGAATCCTTGGAAAAAGCCATTTATGCATTTTTCTTGCATGAGCAAAAACTTAAACTTAAGGCTGCTTTCCAAATATTCTAACTCCAGTAGATCAGTTCTAACCTATTATTCATTGCAGTCTAAAGTTTATTCATTCTCGTTTACGGAAATGCTGAAGAATCAAAGATGAAAGTACCAGAGTCCTTACCCTTGGAAGATTTTTCCTTTTCCTGTCTACAACTTCTCCAGCTCGGAAAAGCTTCCATTCAGTTAAAGTGACAGGCAAAGTGGTGTCCTTTGTGAACTTAGACCGTAAATAAGCTTGTGAGCTCTTCAGTTCCATAGTCTTTCGGTGAAGGAATTGAGGTTTGTGAGGAAGCTAAACCAGAAAAAAGTACTGGTAAGGATCATTTAGTTACTGCCTGTGTTCTCAAAGTCAAAGCTAACCCAGAAAAATATTTCTTCCCTTAAAATTATCCCAAGTGAGGATACCATAATTTTTTTTCACTATTTGTAAAGAAGTTTCTCAGGTTTCTAATCCCAAATTCTCTACTATAGTGTAATAAAGATTCCAGAAAATAATGACTCAGAGTCCTCATTAACTCAAGGCAGCCTCTGCATCCAGGGCTGGTGAATGCTTTCAGGGATAAGACAGATAATTTAGGCTGATGTGAACTAACAGGGAGATGTAGTAGCTGTGGTGAACTGACAGTTCATGGACTATCTAAAAGTGTACATATTCAAAATTTTTTGAAGTGCTAAAAACAAACAAAGAAACAAGAAAAACCCCAAACGAAAGAAAACAGAAAGCTGTATGCTGTCCAACCAACAAAACCCACATTTCAATGTCTCTTAGTTTTGGCCCTAGTTAGACCATTTTAACCTTTTTGTAGGGGTCATAAACAAGGTTCTAATATTTTCTTCTATGAATTCTCTGGTTATACCTTGGGTACTCTGAAAGCGCTTTTAGGGGGTGGCAGCTTCCATGCTGAAGGGGATCTCCACAAGGGTAAAGGCTGCACTGGGATATCTTCATATGGATTTTCTTTGCTGGGATCTTGAAAAAATTAGTTTAGATGAACATAATTAAATGGAAACAAAGTGACTTACATTGCTGTAGGGATGTAGGCCTCAAAATCAATTGCACTTGAAACTTATAAACACTCAGGTATCCAACCAAGCTAAACGAGTTCTCAAGATACGACATTATCAACATCTACTTCTGAAATGAGCAAGCAGTCTCATTTCAGTCCAGATTCTGAAACAAGCAGTCCATTCAACTAGCGGTCAAATCCACTAAGGAATAAAAGAACTTACACAATAAAGGTTTCCATCGTAGAAAAATCTAGAGCAAGATAAGCTTGATTGTAAGAGAAAATACCATTCTATAGTTAAGGGCTCTATGAAATACATACTCATTAAATTTAATTGCAAAGTTTGTGGACACTTACATATGATATCCTCATAGATATTGTCCTCAGACTGTGTGTAATAAAGTGCTGAGCCAGATTTTCTCCTAAGTTCTTCATGAATATTCTGTGAGTTCCGATTTCGAAAGTGCTGAATATCCTCAAATTCAAAGGATTTCCTTAAGCAAGGAGACATATTTTTAAGTTGTATCTTTTAAAACTCTAATTCTCTTTAAATTGGTATGATAGAAATTAGTAAGTAAAGGACCTGTGCAGAAGTAAAAGGTGCTTTATCAGATACCTAAGAACAATAGACTGGTGCTCTATATGTACAATGAGAAAACTGGGCTTTTAGTCTATTACACTAATGTTCTTCATGAGGTACCTTTATTAAATTAAATTCACTCTCTAATGAATACTGAGGCTAAGGCCAGCATGCCTGAAGTGAAGCAGAAAACACTTGCTTGCCTACACATCCTTAAAGATATAAAATGAAAGTTTTTCTGACGCTCTTATGTCAGTAGATTGTCTACTTCTACTATTTCCTCTTGTACATATCTCCTCTTCAGGTCAATCAACATCTGTACAATGCAGCTAGGGCTGTTAACCCCTGGAGAGAAATGGAAATTGGTTTGAAAAGGAGAAAGACGCTCAATAGTTCTGTATGGAAAATACTTAGAAATCATTACTTATCACATAAAAACATACCTTTTAGATCTCCCTCTGATTTGTCTACCATATTTCTTTGGTTCAGATTCCTGAGAAGAGGCCAAAGAAGACTCTGCACAAGAATTATGCTCACAGTATTTTCTGTCACAGTTTCTTTCTTTACATGGCATAACACCAGATTCAGATAAGTATCTGAATGTCCTACGAGGTTTTGGCAAAGGATTTACAGAAGGTCCACAATCTTGTCCCTCAGGCTCAGAGTAAATATTTTCTAAGCTCTTGGTTATTCCATCTGAACTATCTAGAACTCTGAAATTCAGTTCTTTTTCTGAAGAGTCGCAATGTTCTAAAGCCAAATTTAAGATTTTATCTGGGGGAAGTGCTTCTATTTTCTTCCACAATATTTGTGAGGTATAGAAATTTCCTGGAGGTAATGAAGTGTCTGGATCCAAAACAACTTCTTTCCAGCTTTCAGTTTGTTTGACCTGAGAACATACCCAGTTGGATTCAGATCCATTTTTAAAAAAGTGTGTATCATCATATTCATGTTTCTCACTTTCATCCTCACTTTGATCTTGCCTTTCGGGATCTTCATTAATACCTACACCAACATTTTGAGAGTAGTTTGCATTCAACTTTTTGCTCTTTCTCTCAGCAACAGGATTTTTCTTGAGAAGAATTTCTTGATGACAGTTACTGTACCTCACTCCAGAGTCCTTTGGATGCCACTTATCTGGATTAGATGTACCATTAGTTATTCCTTCCCACCGAGAAATTTTTTGTTTGATATTTTTGCAGTGGCTTCTTGAAAATGTCTGAACAGCAGAACGAGAAAAACCAACATCCATGTTCCCCATTGGGTGCATGACAAATGATTAATTTTACTAAGTTTCCATTATAAGTAACTGTGAAATACTATATTCTTTATCCTGTCAGTTAGGATCCAAATAATTCCAGTACTTTCCTTTTATCTTTAACTTGGAAATTTCTTTTTAAAAAGGAAAACTTTGACCATTGATCCATGTTGAAAATGTCTACAACTTTATCTTGAATAGTCCTATTAAAATGAGACAAGAATATGTTAAAATAGTTTTAAAATTTCCTAATTTAAACTCCACTAAAACACTGCTTACTTATCCCTAAATAATTCACTTACATTGCATGTGTAAAAATGTACCTATCATCCATTAAGTAATTCAACTCCATGAGTATATTCCTAAGATGGTGATTCAATACAGAGAAAATAATAATTATGGTGTGTCTCAAATTGTCAGCTTTAATGTTTTGCCATATTTAGTTTCCTAAAGTTAGGTAGAATGAGGTTTTATAAGAGATTACATGTAGTAGTATCCAATATTATTTTGTAATAAACCAATTCTTCATGAAGACTTCTCTTAATGAAACAAGAACCAACAAAATATTATAAAAAGCATACATATACAGAAATACATCTCAAGTAATCAAAAGATTTATGCATATATCCAGAAAAAGAGCCAGTTAGTCTGGAAACACACCTTTGCTAATTTCCTCCTCCTGTCCCATGTTGAGAGATAATATTAGCCCATCATATTCTCTTATCTCAACTTTACTCTTAGTAGCATATACAGAGTGGATTCCATGAACATAGTGCTAAAGACAGTCCAAAGTGCCATTAACTATCAGTAGCTTTAAAATGTAATAACCTATTTTGTCACATCTCTGCCACCACACCCTTGACCCAAATCAGCAAAAATACTTACAGTCACCGTCACATTCCTTCCTTTTATATAGAAGGTTCAGTCATTTAGGTCCATAAACTGTTTCCTCAAATGTAAAATTTGGCAGAGAACCTTTCCTATCAACTGATTAAAGACCCAATCCCAAGTTCTACTGTATACTGCTTATAAATAGCAACTGATTCAAAACTTCCTGAGGCAGGGGTCATCCTTCCTCAAGCTTTGTCTGTGTGGCCTTGATTAACAAGCAGGAAAATATCTTGGCCTAGCTCTGTCAGTATAGCTGACCAAAACTGAAATCACACACACACACACACACACACACACACATTTTTATTTAAATCATTCCTACAAGTTTACAGGAAAACCAGCTTTGCCAGCGGATAAACTTTGATGAGAGTCTGATGCAAAGAAAAGCTATTCTAAAAAACCCTAAGAAATTAAACTCACATGGATGGAAAAAAAAAACTAACAAAATAAAAACCTCAAAATGGAGAGGGCTGTACAATACAGAGAAGACAAGCAGTGATTCTACGGCATCTTACTACACTAATGGACAGTGACTGTAATGGGGTATGTGGGGGGGACTTGGTGATGGGGGGAGTCTAGTAACCATAATGTCGCTCATGTAATTGTAGATTGATACCAAAAAAAAAAAAAGACATGAAGTATAAAACCTATGCATGAGAATAACAAATAACACAAGCCCAGACATCACAAAAAACATTAAATTAATGAACGATACTTTGTCCATAAAAAAAAACACCTCAAAATACCAAAGCTAATGTGCAGAACTCTTTTTTTTATTTTGTCAGTGCCACCACTGTTCCAGGCCAGCACTCTGAGTTCCCCTACTACTGGGGGGCAGGCAGGCCAGAACTCTTGATAAAAAACTAATGAATAGAACCTGAAGACCTATTCAGTTACAGCTCATTATTAGAATGCTGAAAATCCTTTTCTTGGTTCTGATGTTTATGGAGGATTCCTAAGGATTTTAGGGTATTCTTGACACTCAGGTTTTCTTCACTGGAAACAAGATAGGAATATTTTTCTCTCTCCTAGGACCTGGTAGAGATTTATGGAAGTCCTTGTTAACTCTTTCTTTACTCTTCCCCTGTAAATGTGTTTTACGTATGAATGGGTCAAACTGAGAAGAAAAAGATGAAAACTGCTTGGAAAAAACTTTGAACTTGAAAATTACTGGCAACAAATGGCTTAATCTATGGAATTCACACACAAATATAAATGATGTATGCTGATAGTGTTTCAGTGGCAAGAGAGTACCATAGCAACATAAGACACTCCTAACATAGGTAAGTATAAAGAGAAACGCTACTTTTCCCAAATATATGTATTAATATATTGCAGCTTTCAAAAATGGACAAACTATTTCAAAACCAAAAGAGTTTTAATATATTTTAACTAGATCAATGCCTGTACTGATAGTATAAACTGTCTTTATATCTGACTTCTCAGTTTCAATTTTTGTCAAATTGACTTAAACCCTTTATAATGTGGCTTGCCTATTCATACATACAAGTTGTGATTTTTGTTCCATCCAAAAAATAAGACTCATTCACCAAGAGCTGCCTCACTTTTTTTCTTAAAGGCATCTCAGGTCTGACTGTCCCGAAAGCTACCTTGCCCCCCCAGCATCTCTTACACCATGGTTCTCCTGGCCTGCAAGATGGGTTACATTCCATGTTCACCTCTCCAGTTTCTTGCCTTGACCTCCACTTGTCAGTGGACATTCTAAATACTGTGTGTGTTGACCCAGCTTTCAAGTCCTAGCTGTCTCCCAAGCTTCATCTTTTGAAAACTCCTGAAAACCAACCTTTTCACATACTGTCCCTAGAAACTGCATTCTCAAGCTTGCTTGAACATTCCAACAGAAACACAGGCTGAGATATACAATAGCTCCAACAATTTTTAAAACTGTTTGTTTCTTCTCTTAATACCACAAAATGAGTCAAAGACTTCAACTATTAAAGACTACTAAATCAAGCAGGACTCATAAAAATGAGAAGGTAGGGCACACAATAATCACAATGGGCAAATCGCAACAGAATAAACAAGTCATTCAGTGAACAAAAGAAGTAGAAATATGAAAAATCAAGCATGACTGTGTAATGTATAAAAAAAAAACCCTATCATATACAGGATTCTGTGTTTTTAACATATTAAAAGAAACCAATTTGAACCCATTCAGGTAAATGAAATTCTGTTTGGGAAAGAGAATACTGATGCTGTTATTTTACTTAACTCAAGTATTACATAGGTAAAGTTTCTTACTCCAAATCCTTTAAAATATTTTATTTGATTAAATATAAGTACCTTGCAAAACAGGAAGGGTTTGGAACATTCTGAAAGTTGATTTAAAAACTGATCCCGAAAGCTACCTTGCCCCCCCAGCATCTCTTACACCATGGTTCTCCTGGCCTGCAAGATGGGTTACATTCCATGTTCACCTCTCCAGTTTCTTGCCTTGACCTCCACTTGTCAGTGGACATTCTAAATACTGTGTGTGTTGACCCAGCTTTCAAGTCCTAGCTGTCTCCCAAGCTTCATCTTTTGAAAACTCCTGAAAACCAACCTTTTCACATACTGTCCCTAGAAACTGCATTCTCAAGCTTGCTTGAACATTCCAACAGAAACACAGGCTGAGATATACAATAGCTCCAACAATTTTTAAAACTGTTTGTTTCTTCTCTTAATACCACAAAATGAGTCAAAGACTTCAACTATTAAAGACTACTAAATCAAGCAGGACTCATAAAAATGAGAAGGTAGGGCACACAATAATCACAATGGGCAAATCGCAACAGAATAAACAAGTCATTCAGTGAACAAAAGAAGTAGAAATATGAAAAATCAAGCATGACTGTGTAATGTATAAAAAAAAAACCCTATCATATACAGGATTCTGTGTTTTTAACATATTAAAAGAAACCAATTTGAACCCATTCAGGTAAATGAAATTCTGTTTGGGAAAGAGAATACTGATGCTGTTATTTTACTTAACTCAAGTATTACATAGGTAAAGTTTCTTACTCCAAATCCTTTAAAATATTTTATTTGATTAAATATAAGTACCTTGCAAAACAGGAAGGGTTTGGAACATTCTGAAAGTTGATTTAAAAACTGATGAAAGGCACACTTTAAAATGGTTAACTTTTTGTTATGCAAATCTTCCTCAATTAGAAAGAAAACTGATGAAAGGGACAAGGAAGACTCCCTGGTTGTGGCCATGATGGAGTTAACTGGACTAGACGAGACTTCCCAACATACATAACTATAATACTCAACTTATATAGAAAATAAATGCTTTCAATCACAATACAGGTAGGTCACAGGGAGGGCAGTACAGCATGGAGAAGAGCATTTTACTCCGTTGATAGTGACCACAACGGAGGGGATGAGGCCTTGATAACATGGGTGAATGTTGAAACCGCTGTGTTGTTTATCATAAGATTGTATATCAGTGATACTTGATATACTTGATATACTTGTAATCATAAGAAACTATCATAAGATTGTATATCAATGATACTTTAATTTAAAAAATGATTTCAGATATTGGATAACAGACAGCAGAGGACTGTGATCTCTGAAAGAAGGAAAACAAGTGAGGCAGGCACTGATGGCCCAGCTTTCACTCTGGAGGGTCTTTCCCGAAATTAGCAGAGAGCATGGTAACCTTGCTGAGTTAAGGATTAAGAGATCAGAGTTTGGAAGGGCTGAGACAGATGGAAGTTGCAGGGCAGAGTTTCAGACAGGAGGAGCAACACAGAGAAAAAGCTCCAGAAATCAATATAGGATCCCACTGAATCTTGGGTTGAATACTAAGCTACTAACGCATAGGGTAACAACGCACAAGACTGGATAACAAATTTCTGGGGAAAGAACAACTACTGGGGACCTGTAAACTGATTAATACCCAGAGTTCACAAAGGATGGGAGATGTTTAACTTCCAATGATCTACAGAGGAGCAGCCTTGTTGGTCCCTCAGGTAGTTCAGTAGTGACATTAGGAGATTATGGCTTACCAGCAGGACTAAAATACCCCTACAGAAGGCTATTTTAGAGCAATTTTAACAAAGCTTTAAAAAAGCTTCAAAAGGATCAAACTGATTGGTAAGTAAAATAAGTAGCTATGAAAACAAAACTCAATAATTTTTACATGAAGAAAACAAAATTCAAACACTCAGCAATTAACATTTACAATGCCCAGCATCCAATTAAAATTACTAAACATGCAAAGAAGCTTAAAAATGAGACCTATAATCAGGAGGAAAATCAGTCAGCAGAAAAAGGACCAAAAATTACAGATTTGATGGAGCTG